CCCTTCGTATTCATTCCACTTCGTTATCAGTTGCCCTTCGTTTGCAAGGGTTTCACCAACCACGCGTGGCATGGAATAAATATACCCCCAGAGGTGGGTACGATCGAAGACGGAAAGGGCGGGTATCAATGATTGTTGTTGCTGTTGTTGTTGAATTCTAATTTCAGAAAATTATTGTTGATCCCCCCACCGGTGCATACTGTTTTTTCTAAATCAAAGTGTGCCCTTCGACGCTCGCACCGTGTTTTTTGGCAAAGAAAGTCTTCCTGCTCAAACTGGGCCCCTGGCCCCCCGGTTACAACAACAACGGCTCCCGCCTGAGACTTCCTTACAATTTAGCCAGGACCCCCGCTCCCGCCCGAGACTTCCTCGCTTGATGTTCAGGAATCGCGCTCTCGCTTGGGACTTCCTAGCAATTTATGCAGGAATCGTTCTCCCGGCGCTCTGGAGTCGCGCTCTCGCTAGAGACGTGTTTGCAACGTACTGATGAATGGTCTTGCGTTTGAATTTCCTGCAATTGGCCCAAGCGCCGCGCTCCCAACACCCAGGCGCCCAGGAGTCGCGCCCGTTGTGGCCCCATGTGCATGCCCTTCGTGGCCCGGCTGTCGCCATGTGTGTCCCCCTCACAGTCCTACGTGGCCCAGTTGCTACCGTCAGTGGCCCCATACTTGCCTTCTGTGGCCCCGCATTATCTGCACTTCGTGGCCCCCGCTCGTTCGCGCTCTTCGTGGCCCCATACGCATTCCCTTCGTGTCCCCGCTGTCGCCCTTCGTGGCCTACTTCGTGCCCTTCGCTGTCGTTCTCTCTCGCTCTCGCTTTCGCTCGTCGTCGCCGTCGTCGTCGTCGTCGCCGTCGTCTTCGACGTCGTCGTCGTCGTCGTCGTCGTCGTCGTCGTCGTCGTCGTCGTCGTGGTCGGTCCCCTGTCCGTCCCTCTTGGGGGGGTCGACGGTCCGCGGCCGCCCCGCCGATCAGCGCTGCCGCTGGCCAGGCCGACGGTCCGCGGCCGCCCCGCCGCTTGCCGGGGCCCGGCCTGCAGGGAAGAAAGGTATACCCCCCAAAAGGGGTTCGATCGAGGACGAAGAGGGCGGGTATCGAAGGTTTGGGAAATACGCGTTATTGGACACTCGAGCATCTAAGGGCGATCAATCTTAAACATATAATTGTTGTTGTTATTATTGTTGGTGTGGTTATTTGTTGTCCCCCCGCGACGCGGCCCGCGACCCACCCGCGACACACCCACGACCCACCCCGCGGCCCGCCTGCGACCTACCCGCGACCCACCCGCGATCCACCCGTGACACACCCGCGACCTGGCTCGCGACCCACTCGAGACCCAGCCGCGACCCACCTACATTACTCTAACGAAAAATCGGCGCCTGCGGCGGGCTTCTTTAGACCCTCGCATACCCGACGTCCCCGCCGCCCCCTCATTCTTATCCGTGACTGCGGGGTGCTACGTATTACTTCGTGTGTGTAGGCCCACCATCCCTCTCAGACAGAAAAAAAAACAACACTGCAATGCTAACGTGACGGCAAAGCGCCCCGACCCCTTGGAATACGCTCAGCGTGTAAGATGCTTACCCCTCCCCCGCCCCCTCCCCCCATGCACTGGTCCGGTCGATTGAGAGGGAGGGGGGCCCGCCCGGATCTCACGGGCCTGGCCCCAACGTGCCATGGGAGGACGGAGGACCACACAACGAGCCCAGAGGGCCCCAAGAGGCCCCCAAGACAGTCCAGGAGGGCACCCAGTCGCCGAAAGGTCCTCCAGGACGGCCAAGTAGCCTACAGACTGCGCAAGACACCCCCACAACGCCCCCAGACACCTCCAAGAGCCCTCCCCAGAAGGCCCCACGAGGCAACATGAATTCTTTTCCCAAGCCGGTTTTGGAAGATTTTAGCGTTCTCGCCCCTTCGGTTTTCCGATGCTCCACGACGGCCCAAGCGGCTCCCCAAACCCCCCCAGGCGGCCCCAGAGGCTTCCAAGAGGGCCCCTTTAACAAACAAAGAAGGCCCCCGCACAGCCCCGCAGACGAGCCTCCAAAAAACTCCTATAGGCCCTCCATAGGCCCCCATGCAGCGCCCAAGAGGGTACCAAGAAACACCCGAAAGGTGCCCAAGAGGCCCTCGGAAGCAACACGCCACGACCGCGCGTTCCCTAAGGGGTCGGCGATGTGGCGTATGCCCAAGAATCCACGTCCGGAGGTGACGTGCTGAGCGGCAGCGTTTTCCGCGGATGCTGTAATGCAGTGGATCCAATGTGTCCAATGTTTGCATAATTCCCACATACTGTACTGTGTTACATTATTGTGTCTCCCCCCCTACCCCCCCTGCAATCGCGCCACATGAACGGACCAAGATGCCCCCCCCCCCTTCCGGGACCATAGAAACCGACAAAAACATATGAAACATCAGCAAGTTCAACCTCTTGGGCCTCTTGGGACTCCAAGAGGGCCTCAAGATGGCCCAAGCTGACCCCAAGACGGCCCAAGATATTCCCAACGGGGGCCCATGAGGCCCCCAAGACGGCCCCAAAAGCTCCAAGGACGGCCCAAGAGGGCCCCAAGAACGCCCACAACTGCGCTTCCAGAGGCCGAAATCATTGATTGTCCGACGGTTCCTGCAATAGTTTAGCGTTCTCGTCTTTTGCGACTTTCACAAATCCATGACGGCCCAAGCAGCTTCCTTAATCGCCCCGGAACGAACCAAAAGAAACCTAACAGGGCCCCAAGACGGCCCAAGAGGGCCCCAAAACGGCCCAAAGAGGCCCCCCAAACGGTCCAAGAGGCCGCGAACACGACCAAACAGGACCCCAAGAGGGTTCCAATGCGGCCGCGAGAGGCCCCCAAGACAGCCTCCGAGGGGACGGAACGGCGCAAAAGCGCCCCAAGACTAACCAAGACGCCCCCAAGAGGCCCCACGAGACCCCCAAGAAACCTCCAATAAGTCCCCCAGAAGCTTCCAAAAAGGCCCCCCCAAAAAACCCCAAATGCCACACAACGACTGGATTGTAATGTTATTTTCCCCCCTCTGGGCGAAGTGCGGCGCAGCGCCAGCCAGGTGGAAGTTGGTCACTGCGGCGCCCATGATTAGAGCCGGCCCCAAAAAAGTCCCCAAGAGGCCAAAAGAAACTCCCAGGAGGCCTCCAGGAGGCCCCCAAGAGGCTCCCAAGAGGCCCCGCGATGTATCCAATGATTACAGAATTGCCACATCTTGCATTGTGTTACATTATTATGTCTCCCCCCCTAAGCCCCCCTGGGAGCCGCGCCACAGCGCCGTACCAAACTGGTCGCCCCTCCTTCTGGGACCCCAAACCTACAAAAACCTATAAAAAATAAACAAATTCAGCCTCTTGGGCCTCTGGGGACTTCAAAAGGGCCTCAAGATGGCCCAAGATGGCCCCAACGGGGGCCCACGAGGCCCCCAGGACGGCCCCAAGAGGGCGCCAAAAGCTCCAAGGACGGCCCAAGAGGGCCCCAAGAGCGCCCACAACTGCGCCTCCAAAGGCCGAAATGATTGATTGTCCGCTGGATTTTGCAATAGTTTAACGTTCTCGTCTTTTTCGACTTTCAGAAATCCATGACGGCCCAAGCAGCTTCCAGAATCACCCCAGAACAACCCTACAAAAAACCCAAGAGGGCCCCAAGACGGCCCAGGAGGGCCCCCAAACGGCCCAAAGAGGCCCCCAAGACGGTCCAAGAGGCCGCGAAGACGGCCCTATTGGACCCCAAAAGGGCTCCAATGCGGCCGCGAGAGGCCCCCAGGACAGCCGCCTAGGGGGCGAAACGGCGCAAAAGCGCCCCAAGACTGCCCAAGACGCCCCCAAGAGGCCCCACGAGACCCCCAAGAAGCCTCCAATAAGTCTCCCAGAAGCTTCCAAAAGGCCCCCCCCAAACCCCCCAAAGGCCACACAGCGACTGGAGTGTAATGTCATTTTCCCCCCTCTAGGCGAAGTGCGGCGCAGCGCCAGCCAGGTGGAAGTTGGTCACTGCGGCGCCCATGATTAGAGCCGGCGCTGGAAGGGGAGATGGGGAGGGTGAGTGAAAAGGAAGGGGGAAAGGCCCCAAAGAAGCTCCCAGGAGGCCTCCAGGAGGCCCCCAAGAGGCTCCCAAGAGGCCCCGCGACGACGTGACTGTGCGTGCTCCGGACGTGCACCCCGCGAAGCGAAAGGAATCTGACCCTGGACTCCCCCCCCCCAAGCTGAGCGGCAGCGTTTTTCGGCGAATGTTTTGATGCAGCGTATCCAATGTATCCAATGATTACAGAATTGCCACATCTTGCATTGTGCTACATTATTATGTCTCCCCCCCTAAGCCCCCTCTGGGAGCCGCGCCACAGCGCCGTACCAAACTGGTCGCCCCTCCTTCTGGGACCCCAAACCTACAAAAACCTATGACAAATCAACAAATTCGGCCTCTTGGGCCTCTGGGGACTTCAAAAGGGCCTCAAGATGGCCCAAGATGGCCCCAACGGGGGCCCACGAGGCCCCCAGGACGGCCCCAAGAGGGCGCCAAAAACTCCAAGGACGGCCCAAGAGGGCCCCAAGAGCGCCCACAACTGCGCCTCCAGAGGCCGAAATCATTGATTGCCCGCTGGATTTTGCAATATTTCAGCGTTTTCGCTTTTTCCGATTCCCACAAATCCATGACGGCCCAAGCAGCTTCCAGAATCACCCCAGAACAACCCAAAAAAAACCCAAGAGGGCCCCAAGACGGCCCAAGAGGGCAGGCCGCGAAAACGACCAAACAGGACCCCAAGAGGGAGGGCTCCAATGCGGCCGCGAGAGGCCCCCAAGACAGCCTCCGAGGGGACGGAACGGCGCAAAAGCGCCCCAAGACCGCCCGAGACGCCCCCAAGAGGCCCCAAGAGACCCCCAAAAAACCTCCAAAAAGTCCCCCAGAAGCTTCCAAAAGGCCCCCAAGAAACCCCCCAAATGCCACACAACGACTGGATTGTAATATTATTTTCCCCCCTCTGGGCGACGTGCGGCGCAGCGCCAGCCAGGTGGAAGTTGGTCACTGCGGCGCCCATGATTAGAGCCGGCCCCAAAGAAGTCCCCAAGAGGCCAAAAGAAACTCCCAGGAGGCCTCCAGGAGGCCCCCAAGAGGCTCCCAAGAGGCCCCGCGACGACGTGACTGTACGTGGTCCGGACGTGCACCCCCCGCGAAGCGAGAGGAATCAACCCTGCCGACGAAGCCCGAGCGGTGGATGTCCTCCAGAAGCTCGCGCTGGCCCAGCTCCTGGGGCAGACCGCTCAGCATCAGGGAGGTCACCCCCCGAAGAGGCGGCACCGGTGACTTCCCAACTAACAGGGCCGTGCAACCCCTGCCCGCCGAGTCCTTCGCAGCACCCGCGGGTGGGGCTGCCGTCGCGGACCCCTTGGCGCCCAGTGCCCCGGGCCCCCCCCTCGCAGCACTCGCCGCCCGCTTCTGCGAGGCTCGAGCGCGGTCGGCGGCCTCCGCAGGCCCCGCCTCTGCCGCCTCAAGGGCCGCGAGGGCCGACGCGGCGGCCTCCATGGCGGACTCCATGCTGCCAGCACGGCCGCCTGGCGCAATGGGGGCATTTGCCGGCACAGGGCGCGCCGACGGAGGGAACTGGCCGCCGAAGCAACGCGGCCCCTGCAGGGCCACGGCGGTCATCTGCAAGAGCATCGGTGACACGAGGGGGCAAGCATCACCGCCGGCCTGAGTCGTGGCGAGAGTCTGCTGCGGCGTCAGGAACGTTGGGCACCATACGCCTGACGCCTGCGTCCCGAACGTGACAGTAGCTGGGACTGCGCCACGCCTGCGGCTGCAGGGCGACCACTCGTACACCTCATCATCGTTGTCAGTGTCTGGCCACAGCTCTGGCGAGCCCTCCTCCCCAAGACGATCTGCCTGCTCGTACTCAGTTGGAGTGCTCGGTGCCTCTGAGGCGTGGCTCCCAGGAGCAGAAGTCGACTCGTCCTCCGATGCGGAAGAGACGCACGCCGTGTCGTCCAACACGGAAGCGCAGCGCCCGCTGCCACGCCCCTCGCCGAAGAACCGGTGCAACGTGTTCCCTGGGTCGCTGTGGCTTCGCTTCAGGGCGTTGGGGCGCTCGCTGCAAGCCTGGAAGCTGCTGACAAAGGGGGCTTGGCCGATCTCGGTGTTGGTGCAGGTCATCCGTCAGAGAAACTCCTTGGTCGAGTGTCTGCCGGCAAGGCCAGGGATGCCGTCACTTTCGTAGTTGTCGGCGCAAAGAGATTGGGCACAAACAATCCACTTGAGCCCAAAACGATGGACCCCAGACTTTGGACAACTTGATGACCATTACAAGGATGCGGGGGCGGCTTTTCAAAACAAGTTTTTCGCTGGACACTTTGTTGACACATATAAATATGGATATCTATATGTATAAGGATTTTGAATATGTATGTATGTATATATATATAGGTATATATATATATACTGTTTTACGGAGGCGTACGTCCACGCCAGTGGTCAAGTTAGCCCGACACGTGACCTTTACTTTCAGGACCTTGCACACCGCCCCCCAGCACACTGGCCGAAGGTTCCACTGCGCCCACAGCCCGCGGGGCCGCTCGGGACCCACAAACGCGGGCCCGAATCACGGAGGGACAGGCCAGCACCGAGACACGGTGCACCTCCGAACAGGACGGGCAGCCAAGGGACCTCCCGAGGTCCCGAGGCACCCATCCCGTGGGAGGCCGACCACAGGTCCCACACAGACACCCTCGGCCACGCGCTGGAACGTGCGGCACCAGAAAGGCACACCCTGAAGGTCACCAGCTAACTCCCTTGGGCTAGGGCACCAATCTGGAGTAGCTGGGGGCATCTATACAGAACTGTCTCCTCGTTCAGGGGCCGCGACGCGGCCCTGGACTACAGGGAGGTAGCGGGTGGGAGCCTTGGAAAGAGGCTACGGAAGGAGACGGCGTTCAACGATGCCCCCAAACAGTATTGCCTTACACAAGCGTAAACGGTCATACTGTTTTACGGAGGCGTACGTCCACGCCAGTGGTCAAGTTAGCCCGACACGTGACCTTTACTTTCAGGACCTTGCACACCGCCCCCCAGCACACTGGCCGAAGGTTCCACTGCGCCCACAGCCCGCGGGGCCGCTCGGGACCCACAAACGCGGGCCCGAATCACGGAGGGACAGGCCAGCACCGAGACACGGTGCACCTCCGAACAGGACGGGCAGCCAAGGGACCTCCCGAGGTCCCGAGGCACCCATCCCGTGGGAGGCCGACCACAGGTCCCACACAGACACCCTCGGCCACGCGCTGGAACGTGCGGCACCAGAAAGGCACACCCTGAAGGTCACCAGCTAACTCCCCACATCTCCAACCTTGGCGCCCACGCCGTCTAAGAGAAACTATTCTAAAAACTCTACAATCGTGAGGCTAACTTCCAGTCACCGCCTAGACTTAGGCATGGAAAGTCAGCGAAGCTGAGATATATGTACACACAACCATGCAATGGGCACAAAGAGGGACGGCTGGATAGGGAATAGAAGATGCACATTCAACGCTCACAAACTGACAAATTCACGGAGAATCTCGAGCCCGCATTGAACATTTGAACACTGTTCATCTTGCGGCCTGACCTTCACTAGGTCAGCAACTGCATCTTCAATATAAATTCTCGCAGTCAAAGTGCTGGCCCAGCGGCCTTTGACGAGTGTCTGCTCCATCGAGCTGGAGCGGCAGAAAAAATCACCTGCTCCGCCTCGTCGGCAACTGTGCCAGCTGAAAAGGCCTCGAAAGCCGAGCGCTTCGGCCAAGCGCTGCAATCCTGCCCTCAGCTGGTTCGGCGACCTGGGCGAAAGCCTGTCTGAAGGCGCGAGATTGGCCACGACCAGCCGCAGCAGGCGCACGCAGGCCTTAGATCGCACCACCACGGCCTCAGCTGCATCCTTGCCCGCCGTGGTCTTACTGCTGCCAATGCGGATGACCATACACGATCCACGATCATGAACGTCGCCTGCAGCGAGGCTGAAAGCTTCCCCTCCTCGCAGCATCGCTTCAAAGCTGACGAGAAGAAGGCAGGCGAAGTCGAAGGCGCCTGCTGCGATGGCGTAGCCCGCCATGCCGCCGGCCAGCTCCGCGGTCAGCGGGAGCACGCGCGCCGCTGGCTCTTGGCGGCGCCACGTCCGCAGCAGTGACCAGGACAAGTCGAGCTTCCTGCGCAAAGACGGGCAGAAGAAGGCCACGCCCGCGATGGTGTTGCTCGCAGCCGCAATGCCAGCGCCCTCGGCCCAGAGCTTCTCGAGGAAGCCAGCGACCAAGCCGTCTGCATCGTCCATGGCCAGTGCGAGCGCGGGCGCGCCACTCTCCTCAGCGCCGTAGTAGTGCAAGAGCCTGCGGACCGCAACGGCGCACCGCCTGCGGGTCGCCACCCCGACGCGGAGCGACGAGAGAGTGTGGGCGCGCGGGTCACGCCGCCTCACAGGCGGCCTGCACGGGCGGCCTTGCGCACCAAGGGCGCGCGACTGCCGCGCCCCCTGAGCCGCGAGCCACGCCACAGCTTTCTCGATGGCTCGTCGGCCGGATTGTTCTCTGACACGATGTACCCGATCAGCGGGTACATGTCGGCCGCGACCGCGACCGCTGCCCAGCGCCGGAGCATCGGCTGCAAGCGAGCGCTGCTGCTCCGGCCCTTCGTGATGATGGCCGCGACGACCTGGCTGTCCACGAGGTGGAGCCAGCGGCTGCAGTGGCGGCGAGCGGCGCGAGCCCGCCACCGAAGCGCCGCGAGCGCGGCCTGCAGCTCCCTGACGTTGATGTGCGCCTGCTGCCGCTTGGGCCAAGCTATACTCAGCACGACTCGCCACTTCCACACGAACGGGTCCAGCGACGATCTGGGCCACCCCTTCGGTCGGTACGGCAGGTTCACGTCGAGACGCACATCGCTCCCGCCCTTCTCGGACCTGGCCAGGTAGCTGAGGAGCAAGAGACGGCTGGCTTCGGTCTCTGGCTCCCCCGCGTCGCTCTCGAAGCGGCCCGCTTCGTCCCACGACGGCGTGCATTCGCCGACGTGCCCAAGCTCCTGCATGGACAGTGGGCGCGTCACAGCCCCCAGGTTCAGCAAGAGCCACTGCAGCAGCCAAGCGACCGAGAACACATTGAAGCTGTTGCCCAGTAGGAAGGACCTGGCGTCGTCGCTATCCTGCTGGTTCGAGCCCTTCGTGGCTACAGCCGTGTAACGCACGTCGAATCCCATCATCCTCTCCCGCTCGGAGCTCGAAGGGACTCGCAAGGATCCGTCGCTGTCCTGCAAGAGGTTTTTCTCTTCGTAGAGCGCAACATGGTAGCGATGCGAATCCGACTGCCAGCGAGCGAGCGCCTCGGGCGAAGCACTCTTCACCCCGCGCGGCGCTGAAGGGTAGCCCCGCTGAGGCCTGCTGCGCACGAGGGTGGGGTAAGGCCCAGGCTCGCCCAGCCAGCGCGCGCCAGGATCCCGCCAATCGAAATTCAACAGGGGCGGCTCATTGCAGCTGACCACGAACATATCCTCGCGCCCCTGGAGGACCAGCGGCGGGGTCGGGCGGACGCTCCAGCTCAGCCAATACAGCCGCGGCCTCCTGCAGGGCACCAGGGCCGAGGTGCACAGAAACACGGGCTTGACGCCGAGCGCCTGGCTCATGCCACGCAGGCTGCTGGACGTCATGCCCGCGACGTTCTCCACGAACCACCTGAAACTCGCCCCGAAAGCGTCTGACAGCAGCCCGAAGATGCGCGGCACCTCGAAGAAGACCGAAGACTTCGGGTCGGCCAGGCCTCGCCCAGCAGCGTTTAGCCCCGTGAGCCCCTGGCACGGGCTGCCTGCGCCCGCGACCACAAGGTCGATCTCGGACTGGTAGGCGATCCTCAAGTCCTCCACCGTCTGGGCGGTCACGGTCCTGACGTCGCCCCAGTCGATGGCGCCTGGCCACCTGAGCCGTGCGACCCTCCTGGCCTTGGCGTCTGTCTCGGCGCTCACGTACCCGACGATGCGCACGGGCAGGCGCGAGAGCGCGACCGCCAACCCGCCGATGCCGTCGAACAGCCCGATGCAGAGGACTCTGAGGATTCGGGCGACGATGGCCCGCGGGATCCGCGGGTTGCTGCGAGTCCAGGGCGCCCGCGGATCGACTGGCAGGCCGAGGGCCCTCGCCCCAGCGCCCAGCTGAGCGCCAGGCTCGCCGGCGGCGAGGATAGTCGCCTCCGCCTGCTCGTGGAGGCCCGTCGACGCGCAGACTCCCCCCCCGAACTCGGACGCGTCTGAACACGACGCCATCCCTTCGAGGCGGCTCCTCAACGAAGTAGCGGCGAGCGGGACCACGAGGAGCGCCGTCATCAGCTCCTCCCTCATCTCCCGCGTCAGGTAGACCTTCGCCCGCGGCTCCGAAAGCCTCCACACTGCATTCAAGATGCTGAGCAAGGGCCGCCGAAACTCGAAGACCCTGACAATGCGGCCGAGCACAGTCATGGCCAGCCTCCACGGGACCAAGTCCAGGCCGAGCGTCGCGATGGCGAGACCGCAGGCGGACAACGCCTTGCTGAGGGGGGCGCCGATCCGCCCCGTGACGCCGTCAACGGAAGCCCCCATCCTCTCAACGCGAAGCTGGCGGAGGTGCGCCTTGTCGGAGGAGATCGCCACCTGCGCGCGCTCGTAGCTGGCACGGGCCGCGGCCTGCAACTCTGCCTGGCTACCAAGAAGCTCTAGCGCCGCGGCCTCCTCGATGATCTCGGGGGCGTCGAAGTCGTCGATGTATACCTGCCACCAAGATGCAAGGGCGGGGCCCTGCTTCGCAAAAGCGAGCGGCCGCACCGTGTCCTTCCGCCATTCTGCCTCTGGCGGTAGGCCCGCTCCAAGCGGGGGAGGAAGCCGACACAATCGCCGATGTATGTGCTGGAACAGCGGCACGGCGAGCATCCAACCCATCGAGATGACCGCTGAGGCGACGAAGACCCGCGGCGCCGCGCGCCCAAACAGGTCGCCGCGCAGCGCTTTGCCCACCGCCATGTGAGCATGCCAGCAGCGCGGGATCCGCCACACAAAGAAGGCCCCCTTCTGGTCATCGCCAGACCACAGCAGCAGGGAGCCCTCGGGCAGGTGAAGGGTCGTCCAGCCCGTCGACGCCGCGAGTGTAGACGCCTCACCGACGAACGGCTTGAGGAGCGAGTTGCCTGGGACCATGTTCAGGATGAGCCTGGTGACCCGCTCGGCCCCTGGCCCAGGCGCTCCCTTCTTCTCGACTGCGAAGAGGCCGTTGAGGAGCGGAGCGCCC